ATCCGACATGATCGGCTGTGGATTGTGAGCGGACAATCTCACACACCTAGTACATTCACTAATAGCCTTACGAATAACTTGGCGCTCACCTATAATCCAGAACWGCCTACAAATCAAGGCGGAAATAAGGCGAGGACCGGCGTGGCATGCATAAGAATGCCAATGTCTAGCTATCAGTAGCGGCAAAAAACGACAATTTCGACAGTAATATTGGGAACTTGCGTCGATCTGACAGCAACGAATGACGCAACCGTCATCCGACTCGTATGATACCCGAACTGTCAATAAATGAGCCAACAGTCTGGAAGAGACAGTCTTACCAGAAGATAATTCAGACATCAATGTTTTTAGAAATAAACCATGAGAACACTTAACTACCACAATAAGAGCATCATTATATTCCTGGTAAGACAGRAATTYARGATTTAGTGGTCTCTTAAGGCATGCTCTAACGAAGCGACGAAGACGTATTATAATTCTTAACATACGGTTGAATGAGGAAAACCTGGAAAACCATTCCAGATGCTTCTCCGTGGTTTCCACCACGCATGAAGTGAAAGCTTTCACTTCGGGCAATTGATCCGCGGGAATTCGACTGCTTTCCTGAGACCAACCTTCATCGAGCTGACGAAGGAAGGTAGGGCCCTGCCAATAGAGCTCAAACTGAGCTAGCTCGGATGGACGAAGACCCCTAGATGCACAATCTGCTGGATTCAAGTTTGACCTAACATGAAACCAACGATAGGAAGGTAATAGCTGATGAATATTATGAAGCCGATTAGATACAAACACCTTATATTCCACTTGTGGGTTATTTAGCCAAGATAACACTACAGAGGAATCAGACCAAGTATAGATATTTGGAATCCTAATTTGAGAAGACAGAATATCCGACATTCGATGAAGCCAACGGGCGAGCAGCCCCGCTGCGCAMAACTCAAGTCTAGGGATTGACATCGACTTGGTTGGAGCTAACTTAGTTTTACAWCCTAATAATCGCACTGAGACAACATCAGAGCTGTCTGTCACTCGAAGATATACAACAGCGGCATAACCGTTGACAGAGGCATCACAAAATCCACATAATTCATAACAACAATCCGGTGTTACGCCAATAAATCTTGGAACATGGATAGACGATAACTGAGGAAGTTCAGAGACGAAAGATG